TATTTTAATTATTTTAATTATCTTAATTTAAATACATTGTGATTTGACGGAATAACCAAATAATATAATTTAATTTTAATTTAATAAATCACAATATGACGCAACTACACTATTTTAGTAACTAAACTAAATTTATTGGGAAACTATTTCGACTTTTCAATGCAAAACAAATGTTTGAACATCGATCAGTTAGAAGAACGCCTATTACCTAGACGAAACTGGTATCCCTTATGTGTTCCTTTCATGAACTTAGTGTAAAGAATATAAAGAATCAAAAAAGTGGAAGATGAATGAGGACAGAGGACAGAGAATCGGATACTGGTCATCGCATGTAGTAGTCCTTCCGTCCTACCAGAGCACCAGGTTTCACTGCCTCGAGAGAAATATCGCATGTCCTGTGAAAGTGGCGTCTCTCTTCTCCCGAGGCCAATTTTTGTTTGAAGATTTTACAGCCTCGAGACTATTTCGTGACAAATTTTTTAACTGTCTTTTCACAGAATTTGTGTTTCTGATCTTTTTGCATATATTTATGCCATTATTTGATCAAAGACAGGTTTCTTCCTGTACGTCGGCTGTGAAAAGTTATGTCTTTAAGGAAGAAACTTATATCACAAATTTTGCGAAAAATATGTCACATAGATAGTTTGTTTGTAATGGAGTATAATTACAAAACGAGATATTTTACTACTGCACGGGTATTATTAGGATAGAAAAATATAGAAGGCTGCGATGGCTTGCACGTGTAGCTCGTATGAAGGACGCAAGAAATTCTTGCAGAAATTTCATATGGAAACGTCTTGAAACGTAATCACTCGGAAATTATAGAAGGAAATGGGACAATAATATTAAGATAGATCTTAAGCAGATGGCGTGGGAGTGTAGGAAGGGGGTGGAACTGACAAATACGTGTCATGTGGTTGGTTTTGGTTTTGGTTTTGACACAGTAAAAGTTGGTGTTTTGCGCAAAAGCACAGTGGATGCAAGTTTTTCTTGGTTTTGGCAGAGGTGTGTAGACAGCTCTGCGTTTTTGTTGCTTATGGTTATTTAGGGGTTAATGTATGCGCGGTCTTGTAAGCTGAAGAAATATCAAGTAGAATCGACGTACAGATATTGAATGTGAACGCCTGTGCGGACACTGGTCAGGCATGGGAGGAAAGAAAAATACGCTAGTAGTCGCTCATCTAGTTAAGAAACGCCCCGCTTCATATAGAAATCGAAGATAATTTTGGGCTGGATCATACATATTTTTCGAAAACGTACAAATGGAAAAGGCAGTTTGATTGGAAAACTGTAATTTAAATATACAGTCTCTGAATTCTAACTTGCGTATAAAATGTATTAAAATACATTGGTGTGGGGTTATAAAGGAGCTGGAGAAAAAGTTATTTGCAGAAGCTAGATTGCACTTTTGTTTGTATATAACTGGATGTAATATGAGCTGAAAGTGATATAATAATTAACTCTTCAACCAATGCGAAAGATGTTATACTGAATAATGAAAGCCGTTCAACCATGAACATTATAAAACCAAAGCACAGATCTCGACTTACTGATGCCCATCTTGACGATTGTTTGCGAGCAGCAACATCATCCTACACTCCCAAATAAGAAAAAAATGGCCGAAAAATGCAGTGCCAAACATCACACTAACTTCCCACTTGAGTAATAATAACTGTACTTATAAAAGTACGTATTTTTGATTGCGTGGTTTCTTGTATCATTAAACGTCGTGTTGTTTTGTGTATTATTTAGTGTCCATATCTTATTTGTCCAGAGAAAAGAAAATTTGGCTTTGTTAATTGGTTGGTGCCCGCCACGATCTCATAAACTCTCAAATGTGCCCATAGGCACAAAAAGGTTGGGGACCACTGTTCTACACATTCGTTAAACATAAATACAAGCGACTAATGGAAATAAATTAAAAGTTTATTTGCATTTTTTTCTACACATCAATCTTACAGACAGAGTTCCATGAGTAAATTTATTTAATGCTTTACATATATACCCTTATCTGTAAAAATATCAAATGTGTATGTTGATTTTCGTAGTAAAGTTACAAATTATTTGTGTAATGCAGGTTATTACTGTTGGTCATTATGACATCGGTTTTGATATCAAATCTGTTGTACATTGTAATAACGTGTGTTAAGACGAAAGCATGTTCGTAGTATACAGACGAAATTGTAAGAGAACATAAAGTACATAGCTTTGCCAACAACATACTAGTATTTTTGTAGTAATTAAGACTTTAACACACAGTATCAAATTATAAATACTATATCAAATAACACTGGAATATTTACATACAAGGTACCAGAATTTGTGTTTTGAAGTGAAATATTATACCACGTTATCGGTGATCGAGGAGTTGGTGCTGGTATTCAACTACAACCGGACTACACATAATATCCTCTGGCGATGGCAATATCCTTTACGTAATTGTTCCGACGCTAGATCAGAGGATAATTTGTATCAGTCATTTGTAAACCACATGAGCCCACTTTCTGAAATAATTGAGCTGTTGTTACCATAGCAATTCACCAGGAGCAAATAAATAGTTTCTTACAAGATCGCTTTGGCCCAAGTCTTTACTACGCGTGGGAAATAGTATCTAGTCGTTTTCCCGTAAAAACGACAGGAGTCCTAGGCTCATGTTATTTTATTTCCCGGTTTTGGTTTAGACTTCGTCCATAAAGAAACCACTTAAACCCAAAGAAAACTAAATTATCCACCCCAACATTGAAAAGACACGCATCACCACATGAATCATAAAATTTTCCTTCAATATAATTTCGGTTGTTTCTCAACAACACGAGTCCAAAAGTAACTTAAGCTATAACTCTAAATGCATAAGAAGCTAGTGGGATACATCTATAAAAGCGCTAGATACTTGCATATTATTCTAGGGGAAAAAAGTTGTTTTAGCTTTGTCGAAAGTGATATTTGTAATATCATGTTTTTCTGTTTTTTAATGACCGATTCAGTTGTCAACCAGCACATAAATTCACCCCTTATCCTCACTCCTCGCCCACATTAATAATAAAACACTGGGAAATCATATTTATACAAAAATACAGACTGTAGATGACTGGGAATAAATAAATTGTTATGCTTATATGTTCCGTTTTCATTACACTAATCTCTACGACCTCTTCCCTTTTTGTTTAATATCGTGTGGTGTGTGTGGAAGGTAAAAAGTGTTGAATGTCGACTGGCTAGTAATGTGATAAACTATT